ATATATATATATATATATATATATATATATATATATATATATATATATATATATATATATGATTAATTCCTTCATATGCATGCATGTATGCATGCACATTTTTGCCGCCATATAAATACATATAAATGCACAAATATATATTCATGATTAATTGCTTCATATGCATGCATGTGTGCATATAAATATATAAATATATATTCATGATTAATTGCTTCATATGCATGCATGCGTGCATGCATATTTCTTCGCTGCTGCGGCTGAATTCTGCGCAGTAGCTAAGCGCCGCCCCTGCGGTGCGGGATCGTTGCCGTGCGCAGCAGTTTTGCTGCTGCTCCTGCTGCTGCGCTGCTGCTGTTGCTGCTGCTGCGCTGCTGCACTTTCTGCTGCTTTCCTGCTGCTGTTCCTGGGGCTTTCATTGGCCAGAGGGCCTGTGGTGGACTTTTCTTTGAAGATAAACTCAGTTTTATTTTGACAGAAGCCTCAGCCAGCACGGCAGCGCTGTGGGGCCCTGACTTGCTGCTGGTTTTGCCTTCGTATTTGCTGCTCTGCTGCTGCGCCTCCCTGCTGAATCCACCCACGCGGACCCGAGGACCCCAGAGGGCCCCAGAAGGGCCGAGGGGCCCCAGGGGGCTCTAGGGGCCATAGGGGGCCCTAGGCGGCTTCGGGGGGCCCCATGGGGCCCCAGGTGACTTGAGGAGACCCCAGGGGGCACTAGGAGGCCCCAGAGGGCCGCCAGCTGCACAGCTTTGAGGCAGCCGCTTTCCCAAGTCTGCGGAGCGCGAAGAGAGAGGTGTACGTACACCTGGTGCAAGCAAGTAGTGGCCAGGATGAGATTCGGGGAATGCAGCGCTGCTACCCGACAGTCACTACTGTCGGCTGTATTGTCTATCTTTATTTATCCACCCATCCGACTATATCTGTAATATGTGTATATATATATATATATTTATGTGGGAAAGTTGCAGCTGCTGCATGGCCTCGGACGGCAGAGCAGATTGAAGACATGTTCAGCATAAGGAAAGCTTTGTTTCTGTTGCATTTGTTGTTTTTCGTGTTTGTAACTTTCTTTGAACAGAAGCAAATGGCTTAACTGGGGCTGAAAACTCTCTTCAAATCTACTCAAACGAAATCAAGTAAAATGCTGCAGCGCGCCTCAGCAGCCACCTGGGGGATTCGGGCCTGCAGGCCACGGCCAGAAACTCTGAAAGAAATTTTTCGACTTTTTCCCCACCTTCCTTCTATGGGGCTTTTGGAAGCCGCCGCAAGAAGCTCGTGCATGCAAAGGGCTTTCCCTGAGGAACTTGCGGTTAAGTGGGAGAAGTCCAGAAGGCCTTTTTGTGAAACCCCGGCTGCATCTTTACCAGCTGTTTGCCCCCCAAAGCTGCCCCGGACTTATCTAATTCGTTAAAGTCTAAAATCAAGTAAAATGGAGAAGCCTTTTTTCACTTGGGGACGCTCAACGGAGCCACTCGGGGGCAAATTGGGTGGACTGGAAAAGTGGAGAGACTGATTTAAAGTTGCATTTGACGTAGAGGCGAAGAAACACTCCACAGAAGTCTTGCACAGACTTCTTTACTCAACACTGGCCGTTAAGCTCGGGCAGCCACCAGGAGTAACAGCCGCATCTGCCAGGCTTGTAATTCATAGCTGTCGAGAGTTCCTCGGCTGCGGCCACGGGACAGATATGAATTCTCCTAGGCTTTAGTTTCTTGGCAGCTCTGCCAGGCCGCAACGCTCAGAAACCCCCCAAAACTTCATCGCTCTGAGGAATCGCTCTTGGATAGCAGATTCTCTTTTCTGGATAAACCTTCGGGGCTTTCTAGAGGGTGGCCCTCGCGCTGCTGCATGCGAACAACCAGGAAACAGCCGCTGCATCTCGCCCTGAGCAGGCCAGAAGCTGCAGTGCACAGCTCTTGCTGCGACTACGCTGCTACCATCCCCCCTCAAGTAGGGGCCTACGATAACCGTCTACCTACGGCGCATCTCCTTGAAACAGTAGCCCAAACATCCGAAATACATTTCTTCATAGCTTTTCAAAATCTGTTCTCTCCAAAATCCCCCCCACTCGGGGTTCTCGCCTCCTAGGCCCTCTGGGGAGGAGGCCTGCATCGGTGCCGGCGCTATCGCCAGCCCCAATCTCCGGGTATTTTCAGGCACGTTTAGTGCATGCACGCTAATTCGCCGACAAATTGGCTCACTTCGATCCTAGTAAGAGGGTCCTGCCTCGTACCGTGCTATGACCTCTTGTAGGTCACCAGCTAGCAATCTTCTGTAGGTCCTCAGCAAGCCTTATTGTAGTGCCTGTGCACTACAGAAGCTGCGCTGCGGCGGTGGGTAGAAAAGCTGGCGAAGAGCCTCTTCTTTGGGGGGTCTTTGCCGTTGGCGTCAAAAGCAGCAGGGAGTAAAGCTGGAGCGGCGGGCCAGCGAGGGCTCCGAAAAATGCTGCAGAATGCGGGTGCTGGGGGCTAGAGGAGTGGTGCACATAGAACAGAAAGAGTTTTATTAGAAGAGAGAGTAGGCAGCCTGGGCAGCCACAGCTGCTCTTGGCAGCTTTAGCTACCAAGACTGCGACTGGGCTCCTGCTCCATAAAAAGCAAAGGCGGCAGAAGGAGCCGCTCATCCTTTCTTCCTAAATCAAGCGGAGCTTACGCTTTTTCGCTGAATGGCGCTGCAGCAGCAGCAGGAAGAGCACACCCTGCAGCAAAGAAAAGGTTCCTGCTGTTTCGCTCTAGACGAAAATATCGGGACTGGCTAAGACAACAGCTGCACTCTGGCCCTCTTGATGCCCACAGCTACGCTGCCACGAGCAGCAAATAAGATTCTTCCCTGCGGAAATTCCGGTTCCATGACCCCACAGACTCATATTCGGAAACTTGTTTCCCAAAGCAGGCCCTCTAGCTTTCGTTCCTGCATCACTCATTACATTCCATTCCTTTATGCTGTCAAATCCCTTTAAGGGCCCCTCCTGTGCTGCCAGCTTAAACAGAGTGCTAGCAGCATTGCGCCGTGGGGTTTCTCCCGAGCTGCCTTGGAGTGTTTGGCGATTTTGGCATTTTGCAAGAATGAAGAATCTTAAGAAGTGGAACCAGTGGATCCAGTGGGGCTGTACTGTCTCTTGTGTCTTTGTTTATGCACGCTGAGTCCCTTATCCAAGTGGGCCTCGAGCCACCATGTGGGCAACAACATCTGGCCGTGGAAATCTGCGCAAATCTCCAGGATCCCTGCTGGCAGTTGGGGCAGCCGCGCACTTTGGTGTTTCCCGCAAAGTAAATGAAGCTAAAAAAGGTGCAGTTTAATTGGCCAGAAGGGCTACTCAGGGCCCTCTCCACGGGGTGTAGAGACACTTCACATGACCAAACAGTGAAGTCGCTAAGGCACAAGGCTGAGCGACAAGTGGCTTCCTTTAGCCCTTTGGGGTTATGCATAAGAGTAAGGCCTGGCGGGTCCACAGGCCAAGTGTGCAGCCCTCAGCAACAAGCACTGCTGCCAAAGCTGAGGACTACTTCTTTGTCATACAGGGCGAGCCACTACAGCCATACAGCTCGCGGAACCGCCCACAAGCATGACAGACGCAGTCAGAGATTGCTCGAGTGAAGAGGTGCATGCATTGTGCCTAATGTGCGAAGAAAGAGTTTTCCCTATTCAAAATATCTCAGAGACATTAGATGTGCGGGCTCAGGTAATGCCTGCGGCACAAAGGGGGCCCGCTCTCACAAAAGTGAGATCAACATGAGGTCTTGAAGTATTCCTTTTAACATGCATGCACTTTGAGTCTGCACCTAAATCACTTTTCAAAAGAACCAACTTCTCTGCGGTCCCCTCTCCCGGCCATTTGCTGCATCTTCGCTAGGTGCCAAAAGCGAGGCAAGCTAAAGCTTCCCAGGCAAAGTCTCTTGGGGGCCTAATTTGCTTTCTTTAATTGACTTCCGCTGTGTCTATACTTCAGAGATGCAAAAAGAAATGCCACTCGGCAATCATGGACAAAATTTCGGAGCACAAGAGCTTCTAGCTGCACTTTGTCAGTTATAGAACTGTGTTGAAATTTTACGTTTTTCTGTATTTCCCCTCAGTTCTCTTCTCAGTAACTTCTCTTGAGAGGCGTAGAAGTGCCTCTATTTCGAAACAAGGTCCACTTTTTGTCTGGTCAGAGAAGACAAAGAAAAGTCTTTCCGCAAGACTACAGCAGCGCTGCAGGCCTTCCATACTTGTGATTGAGTCACCGGAAATTTCTGAAATACCTTTTTCTCTTATCCTTTCAAAGCTGCATTTGCTGTGACCTGACACATGCAAATAGTCTAAAAGAGACAATAAACATTAAAGACCTTTTGGGCTCAGTTCAGAGAGCACTGCAACGCGCTAGGGCCAAATACACACCTCTTGTGTCCAGAATGCATTTTGGAAGCTGAAAAGCTTTAGAGGCTGCATGCAAAGCAGCAAAAGACCGGGTCCTTTTGTCTTACGATTGCAGACACGAGGGGAAAGGCGACTGCAGTGTTTTAAAATTAAGATGCGAAAATGCCTCCAAAATGGCCTTCTCTGCAGCAGCCCTGGCTAGGCGACAAGCCCCAGACATGGGGCCCAAAAGCCTGCTCTTAACCCCCTAAGAAGCAGCTGCAGCGCAGCACTGGGGGCCCCCTGCTGGGGGCCCCCTGCTGCTGGGGGCCCCCTTCTTTTGGCCTTTGCCTGACTGACAGGAGATGCCGCTCCGAGTCCCTACAGTGCATGCATGCGGAGAGGGCCCAGAAGTTTGTCTTTTTGAAACTCTACTTGGCTGGAATTCAGCACTTCAGTCAAGTACCCTTGAGGTGCTTTGTCAAGTGCTTCCGCTTGTTCTGTTCGTTCCTTTAAATGGCTGCTGCGCAGCAGCGCAGCAGCTTCCTCACTACCCGCTTTTGCCCTATTTGGCTGCCTGCCCTCTGGCCGTGGCCTAACTGAAGTCTTTCGAAAACTTTGACTTTAAAGAAATTCGCTACAACTCTTCTAAGCTTTGCCTTTGCTGCCCGGCCCATAGAGAAGACGCTGGCAGGAAGTTACGCGGCCACACACTAGTGGGCCCTTGCGGCGTTGGCAGCACTGGAGCGTATCTAAGGGCTGCAGCGCTGCTGCGGAGCTGCAGCAGCAGCAGCAGCAGCAGCAGCAGCAGCAGCAGGAGTCCCGGTGCTGCTGCGGCGTTTGCTGCGGTTGCTGCAGCAGCGTCGCCAGCCGAGGGTGGGCTGCTGCCGCGTCGCCGGGCGCAGCAGCACGGGCAAAAAACAGCAGCAAGTGCTGCTGCAGGTGCTGCAGCTGCTGCAGCGCGGCTGGGAACGGCAGGCCGCAGGGCCCGCAGGGGCTGCTGCAGGCTGTGGGGAGTGGAGAGACAGGGCGCGGGCCGGAGTTGTTAGGGCTGAGGTGTACGTACACCTGGAGCCGCGGGTGCTGCAGGGCCTCGAAAAAGAAGCCCGGGGGGAAGAGCGGGCAGCAGCGAAGCAGCAGCAGCAGCACTGTCTGGAGGCGAGGGCGTGCTGCAGCCGGTTTGGCGGGAGTTCGGGGGCCTGGCAAGGAAAGGCGGCTCGATTTGTCGCTGGAACTCTAAAAAAATGATTATAAATGGTTTATTTTTGGAAAGAAGCTGCGGAAAAGCTTGGCGGGAGCTGCACGGCCGCAGGGTGGTTTGCGCCCTGGGGTGTACGTACACCCCAATACACCCACACCGCTGACCGCGCCGCCACGACCTGCCGCCGAAAGTACAAAAACGAAAAGATAAAGCAGATTGAGTGGAATAAATGCACAAAAAGGAACAACTGGGACTTGTATTTCTTCTTTTGCAACAGAAGTGAAGCCAAGGAAGGCCGCAAACGCCTATAGAACCCCGCCCGAGGAGCTGCGTGTACACCGCAGAGTGGGTGGGAGAGGGTTTGCTGCTGCGCGTCTTCTTCTGCCATTTATTTCTTTTTTTTTCTGCAACTTCAGTTTCTTCTCGGGCTTCTTTTTAGTTGCTGCTGCTTTGCTGCAGCCAGCTGCGCCTTAACTCCGCACCTGCTGCTTCCCGCAGCAGCCCTCAGCCTGTCTCCAGCAGCTGCTCTCCCTTGCTCGCGGCTCTCGGCCTCTTCCCGCCCCTGGCTCCTGCTGCTGCTGCTGCTGCTGCGCCTGCTGCTGCTGCTGCTGCTGCTGCTGCTCCGCTGCCCGCGCAGGCCCTGCCCCCGCCGCTCTCCTGCTGCGCCGCTCTTGCTGCTTCCTGCTGCTTCAGCTGCGCCTCTGGGGGCCCCTGCTGCGCCCCTGAGCAGCTCTCCTGCTGCCGCCCCCAGCTGCAGCAGCAGCAGCAGCAGCAGCAGCAGCAGCAGCGCGCCGAGGGGCCCCAGCTGCCTCTGCGAGCCGCAGCAGCTTCCACTGCTCCCGCTGCTGCTGCTGCAGCAAACTGGGGGGGCCTCAGCCCCTGCGGCGGCGGCTGGGGGTTGCCGCCGTGGGGGCTGTAGACTCTAGTCTTCTTCGCAGCGTTTCTTAGTTGCTTCTGCGCTGCAGCAGCAGCAGCAGCACAGCCAGCAGCAACAGCAGCAGCAGCAGCAGCAGCAGCAGTAGCAGCAGCAGCAACAGCGACGCACGGCGTGCTCTTGTTCTTCCTGCTGCTGCAGCAGGCCACAGCTCGATGGCAGCTGCTGCTCTTCAGGACAAGTCCGCTGCTGCTGAAGCAGGGGACAACTCCTCTGCGGCTGCAGCAGGTGAGGCGCCAGCTGCAGCAGCAGCAGCAGCAGCAGGTGCTGCTGCATCTCCAGCAGCAGCAGCAGCAGCAACGCCTTCACGAGAAGCAGAAGCGCAACTCGTCGAGTCGCCGGCACCGCCGGTTGCATCAGCAGCAGCGGAAGCAGCAGCAGCAGTTGCTGCTGCTGCTGCACCGGCAGCAAGTTTCTTACCTGCTGCAGCGACAGCAGCGCCGAGAAGCGCCGAAAGTCCGACAGCAGCAGCAGCAGCAGCAGCAGCAGATGCTCCAGCCGCAACAGAGGAGCAGCAAAGCGCTGCTGCAGCAGCTGTGGCGCTCGCAGGAGAGCTGAAGTTGCCGCTGGTAAGCAAACACGGGCAGCAGCAGCAGCAGCAGCAGCAGCAGCAGCAGCAGCAGCAGCAACAGAGGAAGCATCACAAGCAGACACTGCAGCACTGACTTTACCAGCTCAGGAAGACCCTTAGCCAGAAATCAGCTTCTCCCTTTCATGCCTTGCTGCTGCTGCTGCGCTGCTGCTGCTGCTGCTGCGCTGCTGCTGCTGCTGCTGCTGCGCTGCTGCTGCTGCTGCTGCTGCTGCTGGTTTGCTGCAGGTGGCCTCGTGTCTGAGGGGAATGGGTTTGGGGTCTCTTTCGATAGATGACTTGCCGTCTCCTCCCTGCAGCACAATATCTTCTGCTTCTTCTTCTCCCACAGCAGTGGCTGGCAGCAAGCAGCAGGCAGCAGCAGCAGCAGCTGCTGCTGCAGTTGCTGCTGCGTCTGCTGCCTCTGCGGGAGCGCCGTACCTTGACTTGGGGCAGCAGCCTGCTGCTGCTGTAGCAGCAGCAGCAGCAGCAAATCCTTTCCCGGCTCTCACTCTAGGCCTGAGTCCCAGGATCCCGCAGCTGCCGCAGCAGCCAGCAGCAGCAGCAGCAGCAGCAGCAGCAGCTGCAGCAGCTCAGGCGGATCCGCTGCAGCAGCAGCAGCAGCTGGTGTTGCAGCGGCAGCAGCTGCTGCTGGCGTTCGCGAATCAGCACCACCAGATGCTGGGGGCTTTGCAGCAGCTTGGCGTGGCTCCTGCTGCTGCTGCTGCTGACGCTGCAGCAGCAGCAGCAGCAGCAGCGCCTCTGGGCAGCTGCGGCGCGTTGCTGTGTGAGCCAGCAGGAGGCTGCAGCAGCGGTATCTCTGCGCCTGCGCGTGCTGCTGCTGCAGGTGCTGCCAGCAGCAGCGCAGCAGCAGCAGCAGCAGCTGCTGCTGCTGCAGCGTCCGCGGGGCTGCCGCCGGCTGTGGGGCCCCCTGGCCTTGGGGCTTTTGATGCTGCTGGCTGCGCGGGGCCGTTGGCGGGGCTGGTGGCGAGCAGCAGCAGCAGCAGCAGCAGCAGCAGCAGCAGCAGCAGCGTGAGCCCGCTGGCTTCTC